AATTACAAGAAGTTACAGTAACACCTTCATCAGCAGCTGTAGTTTTTACTGTGACATTAACTGCTATATTTTCATTGACAACATTACTACAATGGCATTATCTTTATTGTGGACCAAGTGGAATGATATTTCGTCATGAATTATTTCCATCTTATACAAAATATTCAGCATATTTAGCTTTACTTGCTGCTGTTGCAAATAATTTTGGTACATTTGCTGGAACTTTAGTCGTTCAACAGAAAGTATCTTCATTTTGGGGAGCTTTTTTTAATGCTATTGGACTTCTAATACCTGTTTTTGGAACATTAAGCTTTCAACTACGTGTATCACATGAAAATATCTTGTATTCAATTTTGTTAAATAAATGTTCTGCCTAAAATTATTCTTTTTATTCTACGACATAGTCCAACAGAAAACTAAAGATAATTTTCTTGATATAAGCTTGATCTGACAATCTCTTGCTGAATCATTAAGCACATGCTGATAACAGGGGTTATAAAACTACAAAGAAAAAGTTTATTTTTCGAACTTTTTAATATGATGTACATCACTTGATTGGTTTAAGTATTTATATAGTAATTACTGTAGTTTTGTCAAAAGAAAGTATATACATCTTTTTTTATGTTAGACCATGTGTTTCTTAACTCTCTGCAAGCATTATTATGCCAAACAAAATATCCAAACATTTCTAAAGAACAAATTGTACTCATTTAGAGGAATATATATATATTAAATTTTGTTTTTTAGTAGAGAAGAGCAATGCAAAAAGAAGCATGAGAAGTAAATCACCTCGATTTTTCTTAATCTAGAAGAGTATTTTTAAAGTGAAAAAAAAAACGCCTAAATTTCCTTTTTTGCAATAAAAAGTAATTTTTCTAGAGAGAAAAATATGAAGCATGAGCTCACTGAGAAAGAACAAAGCATATACATTTTAAATATATTTTTCAGTATCCTTACATCCCAGCGAGCATTTCCAGTCTAGAAACAAAAGGACACAAGGAATGATAGTTTTAACTAACATTTTTTTTCACTCTTTTTACATTAGTGCAATTTTTGTTTATTTTCGTCATTGTAAAACAAAGTAATCTTTCTCGTATGAACTGTTAAAAACAACAATCTAAGTTTCTTCCGTTAGGGTAAGTCTGTTTTCAGAAGATAACACTTCGTTTTAATTAAATTTTACTGAAGACTTTTCATGATGATGAATTCAATAGGTTGGACAATCAGACTGATTAGTATTATCTTTCTGTTTTAAATTGAATTGTATCAGAATAAGATTATTCGAGCTGGTATTTTTATTAAAAAAAAAAAGAATCTTCTAGTTCGATATAATGTTTAAATTTTAGCATATTTTATTCTTTTTCACGTTTTCCTCAATTATCACAAATAGATTGCCATGAAGCCTATGTTACATACATGGGGTTTTCGTTGGGTTTTATTAACTTTTATATTTGCAACATTTAATGTACAATACACAACTACAACTTGGCCGATATTACACTTTTCAACAATTCAACTGTTAGGTCTTTTTAAAGATGCACCAGAAGACACGCCTAAACCAAAGGAATCATCGTTTCATTGTCGTGCTATGTTTAAAGCTGCAATAGTTCTATCACAGCAATATAATATAAAAATTGATGGACAATATATTGGAGGGCAGGTAGCACAAACTGGTGGTTATCCCATAGGTGCTATTAGCACTACATGTTCAATAATGTCTAATTTCAACATTGTTGGTATGGTTGGACCGACATATTCGAGAGAAGCTCATATTATTGCTCAATATGCTGAATCAGTTGGTATTCCTGCAATATCATATACTGCAACTGATCCTGAATTATCTGATCGAAATGCATATCCGGCTTTTTATCGCACAGTTCCTTCGGATGCTACTGCTGCATCATCAATTGTAGAATTATTCAAGCGATTTAATTGGACATCTTGTATAATTATCTACCAAAATGATGCATTTGGATCAGGTGGCGCTGAAGCAATAAGTCATGCATTTAGTGAAAATAACTTGATAGTCAGTCAAACAGTAATATTTGACCTTGCGACAGTGAATATTCGAAGTGACTTAACAGATCTTTTGTCTAGCAGTTCAACACGAATTGTACTACTATGGGTAGAAAGCAATTATACACCGTTAGTTTTACAACATGCACTTGATTGTGGTGTTCTCGGACCTCATTTCACATGGATATTACGATCAAAAATTTCATTAGAATTTTTCAATCCAATCTCATATCCAAATTTAATAGGAATGCTTTCTATAGAATCCGTAGCAGGAAATCTTGTTAGTGCACCAATTAATACATCATTATTAAATGCAGCCTATCAAATCTGGCAGCAATATGAACCTGAAACATTTCCTGGGCCAATGAAAGTGAATTACTATGCACTTTTTGCATTCGATGCAACCTGGACATTAATTCAATCATTGCAGAAACTTTGTTCCAGCTATACAAATCATTCCTCGTCGTGTATATCAGTCGTCAATAGCTCGTCGTGTTTTGATCGTCGTTTTCTTCAGAGTAATTCACTTTTCAATGCACTTAATAATATAGAATTTCTTGGTGTATCTGGTCCAATAAAATTTGGTGCCAACTCAACAGATAGAATAGATGGGATTTATTATGTTATACAAAATGTTCAGCCGTCTGTTAACGGTGTAGATTTTTTGCCCGTATTGCAATGGTCTCGTTCTAATAAGTGGACAACGTATACACTAGCAGATGTTATTGTATGGCCTGGTAATACATTAACACTTCCCACTGGTTTTGCTGGACTTGCAGGTGTCAAGTTGCACATTTGTGTTATTGAATCAGTGCCATTTACGATACGAACAAATATCTTGGAACAGAATACGAAGAAATTAGTTGGTTATATACCTGATCTTATTGATATTTTACAAAGTAAGATGGGATTTATTCCTCATATTATATTAGCATCATCGAATAAAACTTATAATGGGTTAATACAAGACGTCGAAAATGGTTTTTGCCATTTAGTAGTCGGTGATATTACTATTACTGCTAGAAGAAGAGAAATAGTCGATTTTTCTAGTTCAATATTTGATAGCTCTCTACGCATTGTTATTCGGCAAACGACTTCTATTAATGTAGATCTTTTTTCATATCTAAGACCGTTTTCATCTACTCTATGGTTGCTAGTTTTAGTTGGTAGTATTTATGCTGGTATCTTGCTATGTCTATTGGAAAGAACCACAAACGAAGCATTGAAAAATAAATCTATAATTTCGTCTGCTGCAATGAGTATGTGGTATTCTGTTAGTACAATTATGGGATATGGTGCAGATTTTCATGTTCAGACAGCTGCTGGACGATTATTAACTGTAGGTCTACATATGTTGAGTTTAGTATTAGTAGCAACATATACAGCAAATTTAGCGTCTGATTTAACAACATTAAAATCGAATTATTTTATTTCTGGAATTGATGATATTATAAATGGAAAAATACCTTATAGTCGTATTGGTATTGTTATTGGATCATCGTTGGAAGATTTTTATTTACGTGAAATTTCTCACGGTAGTAGAAATTTTTATCCATTAAAATCACTTCAGGATTTATATATCAGCTTATTAAATAATAATATTGATGCAGCAATTTCGGATACTGCTATTTTAGAATATATAACGAACAAAGTCTATTGTAATTTATCTCTTGTTGGGGCTGATTTTAGTCGTAGTGAATATGGTATTGTAATTCCTAAACAATGGATATTTCAAAAAGATTTAGATGTCATTATATTATCATTAAGAGAATCAGGTGTTCTTGATGATTTAAAAAGAAAATGGTTTGAAGGAAGTCTTTGTCAACAGTCGTTTTCATCTTATACATATACAAGTATGAATATTACAGCAATGAGTGGTTTACTTTTTACTTTTGCAACCATTAGTATTCTATCATTGGTATTATATGCATGGACAAACCGATTTATTATAAAAAGTTTTCTATGTATATTAGCACGTGGAAAGGATCCTTCGATTCAAGAATAGGTATTTGACCTAAGACATTCTATCAAAACTTTTTCCAAACATACGCACAACTCTCAAACAGCTTTGTGTGATGTAGTAAGATTTATAAGGCTAAATTCTTTTAATAAAGTTCTTTTTTTATTTTATTATAATCAATCAAAGATAAGAAAGTTTTAATATAAGTTCTGTCGTTCATAACTCAGAACAAAATAGACAAGTTGACCATTGTTTTTCCTTTGTGCTCTTCTTCAATATTCGAAAACTAATATTGAACAAATATCTCAGTAAAGTAAAAAATAACTCGTTTATAATTGTGCTTTCATTTTGTCATCATTGGCTTTATCAATGGAATGATTATATAAGTCTTTACATTTAAAGTATAGAGTGTGAATGTGTGTATGGATGAGCAGAAGATCAACTGAAAAACTCATGTCACACCCAACCACACTCTCATTCACGCCCTCATCCAGCAACAGGTCATGGTTCTTTATTAAATGGTTTACTTGAAACTTGACGTGTAGCTAATCCTTTTCTTGGTTTGATTTATGAAAGTTCGAAATCTTAAATCTTTTTTTTGTCNATTAGGGGTGTGGGTGTGGATGTAGGCGTGGATGTGGGGTGTGGTTGGGTGTGGGTGGTGTGGGTGTGGGTCTTCTATTCACCCATACCGCCACCCACACACACACCCACACCCACACACCCACACCCACACCGACACCCACACCCACACCCACACCCACCCTGGAGAGAAGTGACTATGTCGAACCACAGCTGATGGAGTCTCTCCCCTTGCTGTCCAGACAGCATTGAACGACTTTCACCCAAATTGTTTGCGATAAAATGACGAATCGTTGTCTGTCACTAAGTCACATAACCGTCACGTTCCTTGTTGAGATTTTGCCGAGTTTCCTTGACATATCTGAAAATATTCAGCTCATTGAGCATCAATCAACTCATTGAGTATCCAGCGAGCGGTAATTGTTTTTGCATTAGATGATAAGAAATAATTCGAACGTTTGTACCGTGACTCAGTCTAATTTCGGCTTGTATTTCATCGATTGTAAAACGAAGATCATCATCAATAAGATCAAGAACTTCCTCAATATTTTCGGATGTTGTCTCGATTACAGGTAGACCAGGTCGTGGCTCATCTTCAACCTATTCTCCGCCATCACGAAACCATTTTGACTATTTTATAACTGTATTGTAAGATGGAGCTTGCTCACAGAAAACAGAATATGATTTATCATGAACAGTCTTTGATTCAATATGAAGTGCAAGCTTCCATTGAGCTTTTTTCATATAACAATAGTACTTGGTGAATGATGATGTATTGAAGAAGAATAGAGCACTAATGACGCTACAAGTACATGTAGGAAAACATATTTTACTTAAGCTTTCCGTGGAGAAATATAATACTGAAGTCACTATTTTTGGACTACCCGAAATAGGTCAAATGAAAATTATAAGGAATTGTTGCGATATGCAATGAGAAGCACCATTTCTGATGCTATCATTCAGAAGAGGAAAAAATAGCCGAATCGCAGGACATTGTAAGACAAAATGTCAACTGTACTTGTTATCTCCTGAGAAACGTAGTGGTACAGTAAAATACTTAATTCACTTTTTCATGTGAAATCTACTGTCATCGGGTGCTCTACGCTACAGTCGATCAGCATTCAATGCTATTTCTATATAATTTCGTGCTTGCCCTAGATTTACAATAGACTTAAACCATAGCCCGATTGAATTGCTATATATATGGTCTGGGTATGGATGTGGATATACGAAGATATCGACACCTGCACCACAACGACCCATACCGACAATCAGACCCAGGCAGACATCCACATCCGCATCAACTATTGCAAATAAGCTTCTTACTTGTTGTATGTTTCTTCTATTGATTGTTCACCATGTAGGATTTCCCTAATAATCTTGCAAGGAGAAACAGCGTACTTCTGTAACTTTTCCTATAGCTCTGTACTTGTTCGTATTTCCTGATACTTCTCATACTTCTCCGTACTTTGTCATATTTTTCTGTAGTTTTAGTACTTCTCTGTACTTCTGCTCCCAGAAAAGAACAAATATGTTCTGTTCTCGGAAATAGCAAAAACTTCTCTTCCAAAAAAAATCGCAAAAGCGTTCTGTCATTGGGACCTTCTAGTAGAAGAATAGTTTTTCTGTCCAACGGGTGAAAATCAAGAAGAAAAAGTGCATTTCTTCATACTTTTCTATATTTCTTGATATTCATCGGTACCTCTTGGCACGTCTATAGTTCTGGAGTACAGAAGTACGCATTCTTCCCTTGAGATGTTGTCAGCTATATTCGATTGCTTCAATCTCATGGTTCCATCGCTATCGAAATATTGCAGCATTACCTTGGAGTTTTCTTCATTTTTTGCCGTTCGCTTCTGTTTGTAATACCATCACTTACTTGTCGCCTTCGCTATTGTGGCTTTGCTTGTCTATGCTATTTGGTTTCTTCCATATCACTTTGACTTTTATTTTTTCATTTGTTCCTTGTTTTCATATTTGATTTCATGACTAATGGCATCCACTGAAATTTGATCCAACTCCTTAGAAAATTCCACAATTATTTAGTTAAAACACAAATATCTTATCTCTTTTCTTCTTGCTCACCGATTCATTCAGGAAACTTTTGAGAGACGAACTAGATCATCTATAAAAGCAACGATTAGTTTATGCATGCTCATTCTCAAACAGATACATGGAACGATTCCTACTTGTATTAATAATGATGTAAGTAATTGCATTGAAACAATCTCATGATCTAATAGACCGTCGCTTTTAGATACGTTGTTTACGTCGTGTCAGGTAAGAGAATCGTTTCATTTTATCTATGCATCCATGCGCTATTTCACCATCACTGATTAGAATGCAAATCGCTGAACTTTTTGATTTTTCCTGTATTAATTCTTATCTAACACAAAATTTCTGATCATTAACCATCTTGCTTGCTACTTTGGTCAAACTTTTGTATGAAAGCGCTTTTAGGTGAAGACACGGAGTACTTCTCATCTTCTACTTGTGGTTGTTGCCCGTCGTCATACTGTAAAAGTCAAGCATTGGGATGTTCGACCAACATTGATTGTGAGTGCTTGTTGATGACGATGACTGGTGGAGGAATGTGCGCCGATACGATCATCTCTTGCAAAAAATTAATCCTATGTGAAAATGATAATGTGACATGCTTGGTGCCAAATACTGTATGTGTCAACAACACGCGATGCAAAACTCCGGTTTGCTATCCTATTGAACGTGCTGCTGCTCATATATATCCACCTTACACTTCCAGAAGCAGTATAACCAACACAGCAGGCAAGTTTTGACAAAAATTTGAAACTAAAAGTAGAAGTATGAAAAATCTCTCAGAATTATAGTAATAGCAATCAAACGTTCAGTTACTGTTGGAAGATTTTTCTTGTTCTTTGAAGAACAATCGATTGAATGGAGCGTATCAGACAGAAGCTTTCATGCACTGTAGCTGGAATATCTTGATGAAAACTAAGCATACACTGCTACAGTTGATTTCTTTGATGACATATACGGAATATTGTTCCTTGTACATATCTCACAGCGTTAGGCAGAGGCATAGGCCATCTCTATGGAAATTATTGCAAGATATTTGAGACAGAAACAATGCAAATGGATTTGCATGGTTTCTAGGAGGTCATGATTTTTCCGGAAATTATCTTGTGAGTGTGGATTGCATTGTTGAATTATACAGTTGCACTATTTTGTTCCGAATTGAATTTCACATGGAGCAGCATAATAATCAACCTTTTATAGAGCAAGTATGGCTTCTGAAAACATGACTTTGTACAGTATATCCAAGAATACTGCTAAGTGTTAGCTCCGAGCGTTTTTCTCCTGAGCGACAGTACCAGGAGCGTTAGCAAGGCCGTAGAAGTGTACAAGACAAAAATTATCTATGTATTGATGGTAAGCACTTTAGTTTTAGTGCTGAATTTGATGAACATAGGCTTACACAAATCGATACATGTCTACAGACAAACAGAAATAGCAGTTGAACGATGAATTATGTGTTAATGTGTTAATCTTTTGATCTTTTTACCAAGAAGAGGAATCTATTTGGAAAAAAGTGAATCGTTCTGTAGTGTGAAAACTTTTCTATCAAGCGAGCTTAGAACAAAATCTTGAAACTGTACTTATATCCCTCCAAAAACAGCTAATAAAAGTGGCTTATTTGATCTGGACCACCCATTATTCCCTTTCAGTTAGCACTTGCAATGATAGCATCACGAATTCCCCGGAAACTGACACGGATTGTGGTGGCGGCTCATGTCCGAAATGTATAGATAAAAAAACCTGCAGGATCGCATCGGACTGTGTTAGTGGAGTTTGCACGTCAAGTATTTGCCAAGGTACATATAATCTAATACCAAATGTGAACGCTTCATGACCTCTATTTTAGCTCCTATTTGCAATGATACTGTGAAGAATCAAGATGAAACTGACATTGATTGTGGTAGTGCGACATGTTCAAAATGTGGCAATGGGAAAGCTTGCAATGATTCATCGGACTGCAACAGTGGAGAATGTAGATCAGGCCTCTGCCAACATGAGTTTGTTGTCAATCAAGATTTTGAAATGCGCTTTATGGGAAATAAATATGTGGCTGAGGTAGCTATAAAAAGGACACCTATATCTGCATCCACCCCGCCAAAAATTTCAAACGCCATTCTCTGTTGAAATTTTGTATTATATACATACGAGACCAAACCGAATCGAATGGAATCGAATTTGCCTTATGAGAAAGTGGATCTGATTGATTCGAATCGAATATGGGCCTTGTAGAATCGAATGAAAATCAGACCCTGTCAATTCTTTTGACTAGTGACCGCTTTATCTGCTACTAGATTGGGATAATAGAACCCACCCATTGTATCTTCCGTGTACACATACATCGTTTATACTATCACAGTTCTAATAGTCTAACTCGTTTGCTACATTTTTCGAAAAAGCTTGATTTTTCTATATATCTCTTGCATGCATATTGATCTTCGAGAAAAAATGAATAAAATAAGGAGCAGTTCTCAATATTATGTCTTCGGTTTTCATATATGAAGTAAGGTTAGCTGAGTTCTGTAAATATCGCTGGCTGCTAAGAGTATGATTGGTGTTTCGCATTTTTTGGATTGCCTATGAATGCGATTTTTCTCCTTGATATCTTGATCGAAGATGTTGGGCACTTCAGTTGTATCATGATAGTCATGTCGGGGATCATAAATTCTATTCGTCATCAGGCAGTTGGAAGTTCATTTGCGTTAATTCAAGGATACCTCTCTCTTTCCTCACTCAAATTTGTTTTTCATTTTTGGCTTTTTGCGGTCATTATACAGTTTCAGGTAGTATCCATCTATTGAGAACATTTTGAAATCCAAGTATTGTCTTTAAAGGTTAAAAATTCGCGAATAAATCAAATTTCCATAACGAAAATAGCGAAACTCATATAGTATTTTGTGCTTTTCTCAAAATCAATTTTTTAACAAAAAAAAGTGCTGTTTCGTTCCGTTTCTCCCACATGGTAAGATGGTAGAGCTGAAACATTTTCACATATACTAGCCGCTATTCGGGGTGGTTACCTTTTTTTATTTTTGAAAAACTTTGCTTTGGTGATTTTTTGCAACTTTCACAAAAATTGTCCTAGTAAAAAAAGCAAGAGTTTTTTAGGGTACGTCCACTATTGTAATTTTTTTATTGAAAGGGCACAAAATATACGGAAACTCGAAGAAGTACCTACACCAAATAGTGCCAGTAACAATTTTAAAAAAATCAACTCGATTCAACGTAGTATCTCGGAGAAACGGGAGAAAAAACTAGGTTATTTTCATTGATTGTGACTCGAATATTTTATAGAAGCCAGTATTTGGGAGTCTTGGGTCTAGAACGACTTTTGCTATGTAAGTTTAATCATTTTTTGATGAACTGGTCTCCAGATGCCCCGAAAAGAGCGGACGGTTCTCTTAAATCGTTCGTGGCACTTGCCTTCTCGTCAACTATCATCAAATATGGACGGTAATGTTTTCATTTATCTTTTTCTGTACAGTATGAAAGGCACGAGGACTTCATGGATGTCCTCATCTTTCGGTCTTTTCTTTATATCATTTCACATTGAAGTGAAGGAAAACAATTTCTTTTGTCACATCAGAAGTGTGAAAATATTGAAAAATCCATTCTACGCTAAAAATAGCTCCAAGAACTAACCATCGTTGAGAAAGCTGTAGTCTAAGAATGACGATCAAAATATTGTAATTCGGCATTTAAAAACTCCCATTCATTAAAAACCATGGATTCTCCAGAGGATCTCGAACTAGACTGAGATAGCAGCTACATACCAACACTTAATTAACTCGTTTCTAATGTAATATGTATATCTACTCACGCGAACAGAATGATTGGTGAATGGAATCTTAATGGCATCAGATCATAAATCTAACTAAGTCATTAGCAATAGGGTAATAAAAACATTTCTTCTGATCCTGCTTAGGTAATAAGTTGTGTCTTAGCTCTTGTTTCACGCTTCAACTCCCTGCTTCTTTATGAACCATTGTTTTATGAGGATACACCCATAAGCACAAGAAAACGTACATTACAAATTGAAAACATGCATTGGTTGAATAAATAGACAGATAATCTTTGCTTCCTGTGAGTCGAATTGAATCGATTCTTGATTTTTGAAAAAGTAGACCGAATCGGATCGAAATCGGAATTTTCTCATTCGCTTCGGTCTCTGATAGCCATCATAGAACTGTACTTTCATCGGGAAATTTTTCCATGATTAGCTGACGTGAGCTAATTCGAGCTCGGGAAAGAAACATGTGCAGCACTGATTGAACTGGCTTGGATCATTAGTATGAGGTCCTTCACAAATGGCACCACTATGTTCGTGAAACTCGCATATATTTTCACAAAAGACAGCGAGTGTAAATTTGAAGCCGAAGTTTTCTGGTGCTCTCTCCCTTACAGATCTTAGTAATCTGCTCTCCTCCTTCCCGTCGTATCATTATAAACCTTAGCAACCCGGATTCAATGCGTTGGACGACATTAATAACACTCTATAGTCTTCTTTGAAATTTCAATTGTCTGAAATAAGTTTTTCAATATTGTAAATAACACAGCTTCTGATTTTTGCATCGGTAAACGATTATATGATAGATTTCAAAAGTTATGTTTTGATTTGACACAATTGCCATATGACCAACACGAAATCATGAACTGAGTAAGTTCTAATTTTCGGAAATAATTGATATGAATCTTTCTGAGTTCGTTGAGATACATAATAGATCTCTGAGATGTGCTGTGGATACAACGAATGTGTGAAACTAGCTTATTAATCCAGTGAATCAATGGTTAGACTAATAATAATAAATCATGAAAATGAAATAGAAAATAGAAAATAAACATGAAGCGAGTAGCAGTAAGACAACTGAAAAGGAGTGTCCTTCAAAGAAGAAAAGACATTTTCAGTTAAACATGTAGAAATAAAAGAGACAAAGCGTGTACTAACAATCGATTTCCGCTAGACAAGAACTATCGTCTTTTAGAGATTTGATACCTTGCGTATTTTCTATTAGGATAATGAAATTAAAGAAGAATTGTGAGTTTCACATATCAGTCCCAAAGGGTCAGCGCTTATAAGCTCTTTGATAAGTTTTGACCTCTTCTCTCTATCGTTATCAGTCCGCTATCGAGTCCTTTTTATCTTCAACGGCAATATATCAAAGACGTCATTGTTTTCCTCCGTTCCTTCCCCTCTCCTCCACCATAGTGATGGTGCTGTTTATGAATGATCGCTATAGGAAGAACATCTAGAAGTTCAGGGAATCGCGTACCAAGATGATTACAAAAAGAAAACGAAATATCTGAAGTGAAAAATAATGAACCGCCATCATTCTGCCGAGAATGAGCGGAAAAACTTATATTGAAACATTTTGCTTACCTTCATCACGATTCGATTTCTTTCTACTGTCAGCCTCTACAATGACGACAACGTTTAGCACGTCGCCAGAACTTACGATTGGAATCGAGTGCCTTTCAACTTCAGTTGCAAAGCACTTTCATTGTTGCTTTATTCAAACGCGATTGTTCTCTGTTCATCTCGATCAGAACTGTGCTCATCAATGAAAATGCGTTTACAGGTTTTGACAGAGAGCTGGAGAAGTTACTGTCGATTTGTGAAATACAAAGGATTCCTTATTTTTCCTCTTTTTTTCAGTATGCACCTTGAACACTTTCATCAATGGTGGCTTCGAATCCGGTAATTTTCACGGCTCGATTATAGGTGGTGGCAAGTGAAATTCGCAGTCATCCACTATGATCAAACCAGAAGACTATTTACCAGGTGGTTCGCATTATACCACAAGCATCGCTAATGGACATTCAAGTGTTGTTACTCGCGTCGATGATCCAGTTCTTAGAACTTTGATGCCTAAAATTGTGCGCAATGGCAACTACTCATTGCGTGTTGAAGACACAGCCACCGGTGGCTTTGTCTCAGTTGCTAGCCAAAAGATCAAAAGCTATTTCTGTCTGGACATCTACTTTGCATGGTTGGCGGTTTTGGAAAATGGTGGCCATAATGGAAGTGAATCGAATCTTATGATAATCGAACTAAAAGACATGACCAAGGGCGATACACTAATCATGAGGCGCTACAATGCCGGTGCATCATCAAGTGGAGTTGATACTCGTTTTACGACCCATTCTACATACTTCTACACGCCATCGTGGCAAGTCGAACACTTGTCTATCGATCGCAATCGTACAGGACACGACTTCCAATTAAATGTTCTTGCAACAGACTGTGGACAAACTGGTCATTTGGGCTACGTCTACATAGACAGTTTTGGTGGTATAGCACCATAGAAAAAACTCATGAACTAGAAAATAACGTTTCGCTTCAAAAGCTGCTCACTTAAATATTTTTCTCCTTATCCAATTTCAATCTTGTAACTCCTATTATAAAAATGATGAGGGCGAATAAAGGGTGTGGGTATGGGTCTGTTGGTAGACTTGGGTGTGGTTATTGTCTTCACCACAGACATCCATACTCACACCACACTCACACCCAAATGTCCACACCTCCTTAGTGCAGCAAAGGAGGAGTAAAATATCAATTCTTCCTACGCGAACACATCTATTTCTTGCACATTATTATTTCGTGTCAGTGCTTGTTTTTTCATTCTATCATTTTATTTGTCAGTTTATGCAATTCACATTTCATACAATATTTACCGAATGAGAAAAAAAATGACGCAGATTTATCTACGCACATTTTCGTCATTGTTTGAGATTATTATTAAAATATATATTCTACGCAGGACAACTCTTACCAACAGTCATTTAATCTTTTAGAATAGTTTTTTTTCGGCTCTGTCATATCTCGACTTAAGCCTTTTCAAGCAAGAAGCACACAATAAATAATAAACTTGATATCAAATATGGTGGCACAGAGAAGAAACACGATTGTATATGTTCGTCCACAGAATGTAGATATCGAATTGGTTGATAATAGTCGTAAAATACAAAGCACAATTTAATAATTTCTTCACATCTACCTACGTCATCATTGAGGAGAAATATAGGTATTAGATTTCTTTTTCTGCTGATACGCTACAAAATACCTACGTTAACGTACGTAATCGGTGACAAAATATATAATCATTTGCGTTATGTGAAATCACTAGCAAGCGAAAGATAACAAACATTTTGCAAGACACCATGGAAAAGTCTACTAAACTTTTCACTTCATCATTCTCTTCAACAGCATCAACTAGTGTTCTCAACAAAGTGACACGTCTTATCGAAGAACAAACATCGGAATCAATACCTACATTCATTGCTCAATCGTTTCATTCTTTACTTATCATCGAACATTGGACATGGGAAATACTTGGTAGTAATTCCCGACAATGGATTAACGAGCAATCCTATTCAAAACTATTTTATGCTCTTGCATCGTTCAACATGAAATTGATTTTCTGTCAGGATAATATCGAACCTGATACAAAAGCATCTCTTCTCCTTCCTGATGCTATCGAATGCATCAACAATGTATTCGAACAAATCAATAAAACGGACGATACGACGGATGAGACATATTTTAAGATTATTAATCTTTGGTTCGATGTTCTCTCACATTTAATTCATGAATATAATCAATATGTTTCATCTCATATCTTTAATCATATCAATTACTACATCGGCTGCCATTATCTGATGAGTGATCAGTACAAATTCTATTTGACCCAACTTCGGGAACGGAATCTTCCAGACTCCGTATTAACTAGTAAATTACTCTTCTATATCAGAACATGCACACTATCAGTAAACGCCGGTTTAGATCCAACAAATGAAAAGTTTTCTTACACTATCGATCAGATTCTCGAACATTTCGCCGAAGATTATTCGGAAATAATTCGTGTTCATAGTTATACTGTTACAACATGGAGCAAACAATTACTCACATGTATCACACATCTCATCAGTCTTATCGCTTCAATTTGTTATTGGGATGATAAGAAAACAAAAAATATCGATATATTTGTTCCATCGACAGACACATCGTATGAGTTTGTACAAGCACTCATTCGTATTATCTGTCATAAGCCATTTCATGAACAAATCAAAGCTCAGTGGTCTAATGATGAAACAATTCTTTTTGATGCTATTTTGATTTTTCTAACTGGCGTCACAGAAACACAAGATTTAAGTTGTCGCATACTTTTAAGAACCGCATTGGTCGATCTATTACAGACGATGGCTCAAACAACATTGTACGATAGGATTTGCCTTGGTGCTTACGGTATTTTAGGTGTAATTTTGTCGGAAAATGAACTCAAACGTCTAAATATAGCTGAGAACATGGTTTTATTTTTCTTCAACATCATTGAACAAGCATGGCGGCATCCAACAAGAAGATGCAAGCAAATTCCAATTTCTCGCCTGCTTCATGGTTGGTTTCGAATTTTGTCTTCTTTTCTAAAGTACACATTTTTTCGAAGCACACTGATGAGGCTGGGTATCCAAGTGCTAAATCGCTGTTGAAACGAGATGATTTTCAAAAGTCAGTTCTCTATGAGTGATGACTACTTGCAAAATGATTTTGGAGTTCGGGCCTTTAGATATGAGATATGGACCTTACGAGACGTTCTCTCTCATCGGAGAAGATTTTCAAGGAAAAATCAACATTCAAGTTTTCAGCTAAAACTTGACACAGATATAGACCTGAAATATTCTCGTTTCAAAAGCTGTTTCGCATTTAGATACTTTTCCTTGTGAGTATATATAGAGTTTTGTGCACATCCTACATCAGTGTTGCAGAATTTCGCGCATATGTTGAAACGACTAGGCGTTCCTTACTTAGATGTTTGATCTAAGAGAGTTATATAAGTGGAAAGATCGAATTAGTATAGCTTTCTTGTAACGTAACTGAAAAATCAATGTTTTTACATTCATTAGGTTGTGTGAATTTCTCAAAGAATGATATCATTCAACGTCAAACAGCCAAAGCAAATAAAGTACCGTTGTTGGTTGAAATGTGCGATGAATATCCAATTGTGTTCGATATTCTCTGGGGTCTTTCCTTCAATCCGCTCATTCAAGAGCAACTTCATTTGAATCAATCGTTTATGACCAAATTGAATCAACTCGACAAGAACTGTACCGATGAAAATATATGTAGGATTGTCAGTGGAATACTCTGGAATTTAGATTCGAAACAAGATCAAAATGTACCATTTGCGGATAAAACTGATGAAAGATCATTTGATATAATGATAAGTTATTCACATAAGGAAAGATTTATTTGTAAACAATTATATGAAGAACTTATTCGACGCAGCTATCGCGTCTGGATCGATTTTGACCACATGCATGGCAATGTAATGGATGCAATGGCAAAGGCTATTGAGGGATCGCATACAATATTGATTTGTATGAGTGAACATTACAAACGTAGTAATTATTGTCGAGCCGAAGCACAGTATGCATTCAAACGTCAGCTCAAGATTGTACCAGTTCTCTTGCAACAACTTTATAAGCCTGATGGTTGGCTTGCATTTCTTATCGGTGAATTGCTCTATGTTAACTTCACGAAATACAATTTTCAACAAGCCTTTGAAATGTTAATTAATGAGCTCAATGCTCCCGCTCATCATGACAATACTTCTGGTACACGTGTTTCACCTCCCAAGCCAGACACTCAGACGAAGAATGCTGTTTCACTATCAATACCGGAGCATCTTTCTACAAATATGCGAGACTGGACGCAAGCACAAGTGCATGATTGGCTGACAAAACATAATCTTGTGCAAATGTCTGGGCTTCTTTTTGATTATGATGGACGAAGTTTAATGCATTTGATGAAGTTTGTCACCAATGATGAACCAAAACGAATTTTATCATTAATGGAAAAGGATTCGCTACGACGAATAAAGCAAACTTTGTCATTAGTCGAGTTTGCTCGTCTCTGCAGCCTCATGGAACAATAATAGCTACTTGAATCCGCAATCATTATATCAATGTAACTTGTTAATAGAAGTACGGGTTGTTGATAAAATTTACGGTCATTCTATCGTATTTCGTGTATAAATCTGCTATGAATTGCAATAGAAACTTTCTTTATTAATCCGTGAACTCTCTTCTCTTAATATTGGACAGTTGTTTTCTTTTAACTGAGAAATCAAACACTCGTCAGCTAAATGACCTCAATAAACAAAGATGCTTTCCAAACAGGAAATTGTCCACTATAATCACATGTCAAATTCTAACGGAAACATATTTTAGTCACAGTTCAAATATCGTTTCATAGCACTCTTTACAGTACTCTTCGATCTGATGATGTATCACAATGATGCAATTGCGGCTATTGAAAATATCTAGATGATTTTTGACAAGCAGACTGTTGGTGGATATCAAGCGCCTCTTAATAAAACTCGAGTACTTTAGAGTCGTGAGAGTGAGGACCAGGATCACTGATTTTTATCAACCACCTTCACACCCTTCTTGATCATCTTTCAATAAAGATAGGTGATGTGCCCAATATATTTTGAGATTCTTCACTCGGATAAGGATGTGGGTGTGGGTGTAGATAAACTCTTACGTACACTCAAACCCGCGCCTACATGCACACACATACACGTACATCAAACCCAAACGGTTTGGGTTTGGCGAGTTTGGGTATTGAGTTTGGGTTTGGGTATTCAATGTGAGTCTCTGTTTCACTTTTGCTACATCAACTCACTCAACTACTGGTCTTCAACTGTGATGCCATTTATGTCAAGTCTCTTCTCTATATTTAGCTATTTATTCCATATAGATATGAGCAAAAGCATATTTCTATGCTTCACATTGTTAAACAGTGAAATAAAGCCATTCTCAATTCTGAGAAGATATCTTGAAAAGTGGATATTTTTGATTGGTTTGCTCATGATCTGATTGATAGAAAATCAAAATCACATTTATCAACTGGAGAAGCGGTTGTTTGATGCTCTGTCATAGTCAAACATCGGTTTTTAAGGGAGGGGAGGGAGGTAGAGAACCTGAATTCAAACTGTACTTTGTTGAGACTGAAGGATGGCCTACAATGGCTGCGGGTTTTGGTCTTTTCGCAATGTCTTTTCTAGTTTTCATAGATCTAGATCGAATATTTTCTGAGCAATGCAGCATTTGATTATCCACGAAACCGCATACATGTGGA